TCATAGTGGTCGTATCGATCTGCTACGCCACGGCGACTGTCCCTTGATCGACTCCGCTCCCGTCTTCGAGACCGACTCCTGCGTCTTTCTGTCCGGGCCGGCGTGCGGGATCGGTCTCGCTCACGGCTTCGGTCCCTACGGTCTGTCCTTGCGCGGGACCGACTCCGTTCACGCCGTTCAGATCGTGCGGGGGATCTGGTGCGTTCTCTTCGTCGCGACCGACTCCTACGCCGGTCGTCACGATCCCGTGAACGACTTCGCTCACGGCGCTCGTCTCTCCTCGGCCGAGACCGGGTCCTATCCCGTCGCAGTTTTGATCGACTTCTGTCTCGCCTGTCCCGGTCACGAGATCGGCTTCTTTCTCGCCTGGGGGATTGGGAACGTCTGTCCCGTCGGCGACTATCCTCACGTTGACGACTCTTCTCCCTGTGCTTCTCACGATCCCTGTCACCAGCCCGAGACGCGCTGCGGCTTGATCTCTTTTCGTCGCGTGAACCGGACAATTTTGAATCTGCAGCTGTTCGGGAGTCTCGTCTCTCGCTTCTAGAGCCATTTTCACTGGCCTTACGAGAGTCGCGCTTTATGGGATTAATTGCGGATGCAGGAGCGCTCTTTCGGGGGGGCGGTGCTAGCGCGGCATCAACTTCAAGCTCAGGCTTTGCTTGGTCAGATCGGGAGCTTTCCCGTAAAAGGTCTGCCAGCGCCTCCCGTTCCAGCCTTTCGTTGTCTTCCTTGGACATCTTTTGATCTGATGCTGTTTCTTTGGTCTTGGACCTATCACGCCGGCGATCCCTCGACCGATCTCGCCCTCTGTCCTTGTCCTTATCCTGATCCCTGGAACGGTCTCTGGAACGATCTCTGGATCGGTCTCTGGATCGGTCTCTGGATCGGTCTCGGGAACGGTTTCGGGATCGGTGCCTGGATCGATCCCTAGAGCGCTCGCGATCTCGTTGCTCCCTCTCCTTGTCACGAAGCTCACGCTCCTTGTGCCTCTTTTCTCGCTCCAAATCTCGAAGCCGTTCTCTCTCAGCTCGTTCCTCTTCTCGCTTTCTGCGGCGCTCGTCCCTTTCTGCCTGGCGCTTCAGTTCAGCCTGTGCCCGTTCGCGCTCCTCCTTTTTCTGTTCCTCCTGCTTAATGCGACGCTTCTCTTCTTCGATGGCGGCCTCTTTGAGGCGTAATTCTTCACGAACTCGTTCACGTTCCGCCTGCCGTGCCTCCGTATCCGCAGCGTACTCTTCGTCGGTTTTTGCGCCACGGATGCGCTCTGACTCGGCGGCCTCTTCGCCAATCTCAGTTCGTCGAATCTCGCGAATGCGCTCCTCGATAGCGTCGACGTCGATTAGTTTAGCAATGACACCTTCAGCTTTCTGGTAGACACCAGATCGTTCCAGAGCACCATCGATTAGGGCGCTCGCCTTTCGTGGATCAAGGGTGAGGAGTTGCTGCGGGTTGCGGTCGACCTCCTTTTCCGCTACCTCGAGGATCGCCTGTTTGACTATGGTCTCGCAATCCTATAAATTATGTGAGCATGTCTTCCAGTACCCTAGGCTCGTAGTAGGTCATACACTGGCTCCGAATTTATCCCAGACTTGCTTTCGGATGGAGTCGTAGGCACCTCCCTTTTTGAAACTGTGTTTCAGGGACTCTATGGCAGCTCGCGTTGCCGAAGACAGCGGAAGATCAGATGCTTTGAATTTTCGTGGCGCTGAATGACTTGCAACAACATCCCCAGTTTTGCTAGGCTTCTCAGCAGAGGTTGCCATATTTTTTGTTCGGTCGCGGAGATCAGAGTCTATATACGCGAATATGCATTTCGCTCACAGATTTTGATCAGCGCTTTTTTCTGTGCATCTGCAACAAGCAGACACGCAGCTGCTGCCCTGTTGAAATTGCCGTGCAGCCAGATGAGCTGATTAGCTCACGTTGTTTCGCGACTAGCATCTGGACTAAAGACAGAACGCCAGTCCACGTGACGGACGAGTCAAAGACTTGATGTGGCCCAGGGTCTGAGGATCTATCTACCCGGGAACAACTCCCAAATTTAACATGGAACAAAATCAACACAAAAACACCCCATTATTTTCCTAAAGGTTGCAAATTAGAAAACATAGCATCTTCTTGGTTATTTTGTGGCTTCCTTGTTCTTTGTAGGAAATTTTTTAAACCAATTGTTTTACGCTACTGCCCAAGTACAATACTACCTATCTTCGTCGCGAAGGTCGAGCATGGCACAGAGACCAATAAGTGGCAATAACTTGAAGCAGCGCCACGACTCACAGACACAGACACAAAGGTATTCAATGTCGAGGGGCAGGCTATAAGCCCCTCATGTATGTATAAGCCACAATATTTGAAGAAATTATAACACTCTTTCTCTCAAGTACTGCCCTTTAACAAGTATATCGATGCGAAGCTAGTGTAGCTATGTTCATCCGCGCCCGGTGAAAATACACATGGAGCTCGACTCAACAAACCGAAACTAGGTAGGTACTACGTAGTTATGTACTCGAGGGACAGCAATGCTATTACACGAAGTGATTATATTCTCACTACGGAGTACTAAGTGGTTCGGGATTGTAAGCCAAGCCAGCACAACACCACTTCCCCTGACTCTCACAAACCACCAAAAGGATGCGCACCCCTTGTCATTTGTACAATGCCAAGGTCTGCCGATCCGAATTCTCGTATCACTAATTTCCCCATAGCAGGCATTGCTTTCCGACAAGGCAAGGCTCACAATTCTATTGAGTCAGCCAGTCGAGCGAGTATTGGTAATACATATTATTGCTTTTGTACATTAAACTAAATAGATGTGGATATCATAGAGGCCCGTCAAAAAGTCGTAGAGGAGATGTACCGCCCGCAACACGCAACGCGCAACGCCATGCTTGAAATTGCTGCGCTTCTAGGCGCATACAGATAATACACTGGAAAGTCTAGAATTCGCCCTCGCCGCCGGTACCCACCACGTTTGCTGTCCAGAGACCAACAAGTCCCCACCAGTTCACTTTCCAGCCTCGCCAGAGACCTTCCAGGCCTTGTCCCTTGATGTGGGTAGGTTGGAAAGACTTGGTCTTGGCTTTGCCCTTCTTAGCGGCAGGGTTGGATATGGCTGGGTTCTCGCGAGCGCCTTCTTCTGAAGCGATGTGGTACATAGTACCAATGGTGCCGTTGTATCGGCCAATAGGCACGATGGTGTCGAGCTTCTGTTCTGTCCCTCCAAGAGCTTTGATATAATCTGGGCTAGAGAGAACGGCCATCTGGCCGCGTCGCAGTGTGGTTTCAATAGGCAATTTGATAAGAATAGCAGCTGAAGAAGCAAAGAACTTGGCCACAGAGAATGTCATTGGTGATACTTGACTGTCAATCAGGAAGCGAGTTCGGAGCACAAGTGGCGTCGAGAGTGTTAGGAGGGGGTGTATAAGAGAGTTCAGAACAGTCGGGATTGCGATTGCCGACGGGCAAAGGTAGGAAGGGAGAGCCCGAAGGGTAGCAAGTGTTCGGCGCTGTCCTTTGGAAATTGGGGTCATGATGAGTCTGTCATGGTAAGCGCCGTTTTCGCATATAAGAACTCGTGGAAGACCAACCTTGTGCGCACAATATCCAGGGGAGACAAGAGTACACCAGTCGCAACTGCAGCAGTAGCAGCTACAAACAGCGAGGCCCAAGGGTATGGTGACGCAATGTCAATCAGCCGATCAATGTCGTCCTTAACACCCAGATCAGGAACGTTGAAAATGGCGCTGAGAAAGCTTCTCGACCAATTTTCAAGCAAAGATTGAAGCACAGTATACAGAAAAGTGGCATTTGAGCCCTTCCAAACACCCCAAGCGCCATCCTTTTGCCAGAGTTGCCCGATGACGTCAAGAATCGAGTCTGGTCTGCGAATAGTAATGTAATGCTCCGGAATCATGGGCCGTTTGGGGGCCTGTGACTGCAACGGTGATGTTACACGACGATTGCCTAAGCTTCTGTTATATGACGGTGTGGGCGTGCCGGGCGTATTAGAGGTGAAGAACGCGGCCTCATCGCCTTCGGAGTCGGAATCATTATACTGTGCAGGTCAGCCATGCATTCGAGAGACAGCGGGCGGGAATCCATTCTCACGTCGTATATTGAGCCTGCCTGGCTAGAGCTTTGCCTCTTCAAACCCTCTGGCTCTGTAGTTGCCCAGACAGCATTCTCATCCTGATCACGAGCTTGCAAAATAGTCTTTGCCACCTCGAAAGGCTGGGCCATCAACACGGACGTGTACTTCCATATCAGCTCTTCTACCAGCTCCTTGGCATTCTGTATCACCGACGGCGACGAGTCGTTCAAATAGTCCTTGTAATCGATATCGGCAAGCACATCGCGCGCCTTAGATGCGTAGCGGGCAGTCCCCGTCACATTGCCCACAGCGAAGGGGTTTGCGCTGGATGCCGACGCGGGATCCGTCGTCTCACCTATGACAGGCGCCCTATAGTAAGGTCGTAGCGGATTCACGCCGTCTCTCTGCGTGGTCATGGTTGGTGTTTACGGAGAAAAATCATTTGGAATGCGCCGGTTGAAAAGGTGGCGGATGTCCCGTTGCGTTGGAAGCTCGCTGTAGCTGCAACGCAGAATGAAATCATCATCTGAGAGCTCGGAGATAATGGGCACCGCGGCGGCAGACGGCAAATGGATTTCCCGGGTGCCAGTCGGCGCTGGATGGACCGGCGACTTCCCTGTCCAGGGCCACAGCGCTTCGACAACGCGCCACTTATCGGAGCTGCATTTGCAAGCCGTTTTTCCTTGCTCGGAACTGCGAGCGCTTTTGATTTAGATCCTGCGTGGTCATCCTCCGACGACATCCGTATTTCGTGTCGACCTGCACCATGCACTGAGATTCAATTGGGGCTACGAGAGTCGATTTTATAGTGCACTGGCTTTTTGTGATCCAACAAGCGACGACGGACGATACCTTGAGCAACTTGGACGCATCTCTGGGGCCCATCACCAGTCACATCGCCAAGAAAAAAATGTCATCGGCTTCAAGGACGCTCGCATCTCGTCTTGTGGCAGTGCCTGCCACGGCCTGTCGACGAGTGCAAAAAGGCCGCGCGATTCGAATGGAGTCCTTCACATCAAAATTTCCAACACGGAGTCGGAGTGCGCCTCGAGTAATCCCTTTGTCCGTGCCCGCGCATCGATCATTCTCAACCACCGCACCAACCCGCCACGGCCATATTGACCCCCCGAAGCCTGGTGAAGAGTGAGTGCAGCCATACACACAAGCGATAATAATGTCAAAAAAAAAAATGAACAAGCCACTGATTATCCCAGACTTTACGTCACCTTTGTTGAAAAGGATGGTGAGGAACACAAGTTCGCAGTCTCCGAAGGCGACAACCTTCTAGATATCGCTCAAGCCAACGATCTCGAAATGGAGGGTGCATGCGGCGGCTCATGCGCCTGCTCAACGTGCCACGTCATTGTCACCAACGAGGAGTTTTTCGATAAGATGCCCGAGCCAGAGGATGACGAAAACGACATGCTGGATCTGGCATTCGGCCTGACCGAGACGAGCCGACTGGGCTGTCAAGTGAAGATGACAAAGGAGCTGGACGGATTAGTTGTCAAGCTGCCGTCGATGACGCGGAATCTACAGGCCAGCGATTTCCAATGAGATGATGACAATGTAACAGTAGCTGCTGGGACATACCCCTTATAAAACACCTTGTACAATATGTGTGGATAGAAGGACGGATTTCCCACCGTCCAGAGTCGAAGAACGCGGGGAAGATATTGGAGGGTATCTTTGACTGCATTTTCAGGCGATAAAAAAAGTACTATATATACCTGCTTAACTCCTCTTACCAAACAAGAATCACGAACCAGCGCCTGTGTACTTTTTTTTAGGTTCGTCTGAACGCACGAGGTAACCTATACGCTTAAGCCTCCTCCAAAGCGCCCTTTTTCAAACCTCCGCCCCCAGAGCTAATAAGATCCAAAAACCCCTTCTTACTCATCTCGTTCACCTTTTCCTCGCGGTTATTAATACCTATGACGCCCTGCTTCCTCGCGTCCTTCTCCGCCTCTGCGGCCTGGACTTGCGCAGCTCTTACGGCGTTAAACAGCTTAACCACACCTCTCTGCGCAACCTTGCGCAGCTTCCGCTCAGCGTCTAGAATCTCCGCTGTTGACGATTCAACCTCGCCGGTGGTGTCATCCCGACTGGCTACAAGGACATCCTTGACGCGGCCCTTTTCTAGAGCCTTCTTCTTTTGGTCACGCAGGTGTCGCTTTGCCCTGGCTTCTAAGGCGCTGTCGACAGCTGCTTTGGAGGCTTCATGTGCGGCCGCACTTCTTGAGAGGACCGGGTCGGAACGTTTTGACGATGACAATTTTGTGGAAAGAATTTTGGAGATGGATGTGGCGAAGGCGCTGGGATCATTGCGCTTTGATTTGCGACGGCTTGTGGCATTGTCCGAGTCAAGGTCATATTCATCAACGTCTGATTCTTCGTCGTCGTCGTCTTCATTTTCCCCCTCGGCAGACTCGGCGCCGTCTTTGTGCGCCGTCTTGGCGGGTTTTGAAGACTTCTTGGCTTTCTTCACTCTGGGTTGCTCGTCTTCAGAACTTGATGAGTCGGCGTTATCTGACTCAGCCGCATCGTCGACGGTTGCATTGTGTATATCGTCATCTGAGTCGAGCAAGTTCACTGCATCGAAATCCTGGTCTTCGTCGCCGTCGCTGCCCGAGCCGCTGTCATATTGTTGTGTTTGTTGGCGTTTTTGTTTCTTAGATGGACGCTGGTTCTTGGCGTCAAATGCGCGTTTCTTTGGACCTCCCATTGTATAATCGTGTATTGAATTGCGTGTGTCGGACCGGCGAGAACAGTGCTGCAGGTGAAGGAAGCTTGAGAAAAAGTTGGGATTCTGCCGGGTAATTTTTCTGGGTGGGAGGGGCTCTGGGCAGGCGGTGTGGAGAGGGCCGGTTCACGTGGGGCAGACAGTCGTTCGCTAGACGAAAGCCAAGCTTAGTGGCTTTGAACGACTCTGGAACTTAAGTAAGTAGGTACCTACAGTAGGTGTAGTAGTTGTCGGCGACCATGACTTGGAAGTTCCCTTTGGGACTCCTGACGGGTATGGGATGTACATCATAATTGATTCTTGCAAATAAGAATAGGGCAACGGGCGAACAAAGGGTTGCGATATTGAACTATACAAACTGTAGTAACAATATAACTGAGCATTACGCCCAGTTACCAGCTCCACCAAATCGCGAGGTCCGAACCTCAAATGGCTACAGGCCGTTGTACATGTCTTTCGGCACTCGTTACAATGGCACAATGCTATATGCTAACCCGACTGTAGGGAGTCTCAAAATGAATAAATGCATCAGGACAAATTACACGTCAAGCAGCCTGGAAATTGGCCAATCTATTTAGCTAACAAGTGGTCAGCCGAGGGTATCAAGCAGCAATATAAGTCACACCATCTCTGATAACGCTCCGTAACCAACGCCAGAAAAGTGGAATTCGACCGAGCCATTAAACGAACTTGAACCGGTCCCAGAACGAACCACTCGTCTTTACAGCTTCTTCAACTATGGGCGCGGAGAGCTGAGTGGTCCACCGCTCCTCACCATCAATATATAAAGTATATTGCAATATGCTCTGGCCATCAATGTTTTCAATTGTAAACGAGCCAAATTTGGAACTTCCGGAAGGGATATAGCTGTCCTCTATTAGCACGATGCGCACCAAGTAGAATCAGAGAACTTACTGTAATTTGACATCCTCGCTGTCAACTTGCTTATATGTTGGGAATGGTGACGCAAATTGATTCAAGGGACTGGTAGAGAATTCGTGCGCCGCAGCCGATTCAGGCCAGTTCGACTCGGGAGGCGGTGGGAATTTGGTCGCGGCAAATTCATGACGGTCTCCAGAAAGAATTACGACAGGTGTGCCACGAGCCCCAGCCTCCCACATGGCTTCAAGTATCTTCCGTCGTTCAAACAAAAAGCCACCCCAAGTATCCTTGACATTTACTGGCCAGTTCTTGGTAAACGGGACGGACGAAGCCACAAACTTCCACTTGACTCCCTTAGGTTCGGGACGGCCCAACCAGGCCAAAAAATCAGCCAACTGATCTTGGCCGAGCATGGTCTTACTCTCTTCTTCAAAAGGAGCGTTATTGCTGGAGCGGTAGCTTCTGGTGTCTAACATGAAGAAACTGACGGGTCCTTGGACGAACTCGTACCAAGTAGCATCCTGACGGGGCGTGCTTCTGGTACCGGCCTGAACAGCTTTTGGAGGGTTAACGTTGGCCTGGTAGGTGTGCCACGGGCCAACGGCAGCACTGTAAATTCCGGTAGTGTTGGAGGACCAGTCGTTGGAAATTTCGTGGTCATCAAGTACATGAATCCAGCTCAAGTTTTGCGCGACAGGAGCCCAGTCGGGAGATGCGTAGACTTGTCGGTATTGCATACGATATTCCTCGGATGACTTGCCGAAGCGTTCTGGAACGTCCACATAAATGAAATCACCTAAAAAGAGCATGAACTGGGCACCCAAGTCGGGAAGCTTCCTGGCTAGATGTCGGAGTCCAGGAATAGCCAATGCATGGTCCATTGGGTTGTAAGGGAAACGGGGAAGAATGCAGGAAGTTGAGAGAAATGTGAACTTCCCATCATTGACCGTCGGCATGTTCCCGGGCTTAGGAGGGCTGAGAAATTCGCCGGAATGGTTGTTTGATGTTCTCCACTCATACCATCGTTGCTCAGAGTACCTCAAAGAGACAGTAATAGCCTGCGTGAAGTCGGTTTCATTGGTTGTCTGTTGTATGTCGGCGGCATTAGACCAGGCTGGCGCATCGACAGACGCTTCGGACGTCTTGGCTCGTATTTGCAAGGTGACGGGCAGCTTGGCTTGGTCTGGCTCGCGGACGAGAAAGTTCGCTTCACTGGGTGAAACGTATCCCAGACGAACGAACGAGAGGTCTTCAGAGGAGTAATACCAACGGGCGCGGAATAGTGCGTCGGCAGTCAATAGCGCAAGAACAATGTTGATGAGAAGTGTGATAATAGACCATTTTGGTTGAGTAGCACTGGGGTATCCGTAAAGCAGCACCTTCCAGGGCCGTTCGGTTTTCTCGTCGAGTATGATTGTCTCCTCAACGTCGACTTCCTGGGCAACTACCTCGGGTTCCGGTGGCTGGCCAGTTTCGGAGAGCAAGGGGGTTTCTGATGTAAGCGTTGTCTGCTTCACAGTAACGTCGACTTCATCATCAACAATTTCAAGAGCCGGTCCAGCTCTATAGCTGGCGAAATAAGCAGGAATGTAGATTGCAAAAAGCGCAAAGGTAATGGAGGGAAAGTGGGCCTAGGAGCTGTCAGCGTTGTCACAAACGGGCTTCAAGCATCACTTCATACTGGAAACTATTCAATCTTGTTAGTCATGTGTCGATGATGAATTTATGACGAGACGCACAAATCTGAAGAATAATATCGCGGATATTCTCAAGGCGACCGAAGTCACCTTGGCAATGGTCGTCTGAACAGGCATGATGTTGTTTAGGAGAAAGTGGGATGGAGTGATGCCGAGGTAAGTGGTCGGATGATTAAACAAAGTTTAGGTGAAGCTCATGGCTTTTTGCCTATGAATGAGAGAATGTAGAGAAGCCAATGTTATGATGTGACGGAACACATCACAGCATTGCGCAAAGAAATTGAGAAGAGTGGCAAGGAGGAACTGACGGACTAATGATGCTAGTCCAAGGTTCTGCGGCGCTGCGGAAGAGCTTCATTAAAAGCTCCTGATTCGACGTCATCTAATTGGCAGACGCGCGGTGATTTGAGGCGCGTGGGGGCGAATTCAAGCGTCTACGGGTCGAGGTCGACTGGCAAGTGGGTCCAGATGTCCAGGCCTGGAGGTGGCAGCTCTGGCACCTTCAGGGGTCGGTCCTTGTGAAAATCCGCGCCCGAAGCGACATCGTGGCCCCTTTGCTCTACACGGTGCATTTCAACACCACAGCAGCGCTAGGGACGTGCCACAATTTGCAAGATAAACCCTCGCCTCCTGTTGCGATTCGAGTTGCTCTCTCAGTTGGACGCCACAATCACGAATCCGACGCCATTATGAGATTGTCGACAATAGGAGCAGGCCTTATTGCCTGCCTGGCGACCAATGTTGCCGCCACGGCTCTGACCTACAAGCTCGACGCCAACGAAAAGGCATGCTTCTATACGGAGACCAAAAAGGATAACGAAAAAATTGCATTCTACTTTGCGGTATGACTCCTGTTACACCTGGCGTGCGACGCTGGTATAAGAGTATGCGCTTACTGGATACCATGCAGGTCCAATCTGGCGGCTCTTTCGATGTCGACTACATTGTCGAGGGTCCCAATGCCAAGATGATCTTGCAAGGCGAAAAGGAGCGACAGGGCGATTTCGTCTTCACCGCTCAGCACGCTGGCGAATACTCGTTCTGCTTCAATAACGAGATGAGCACCTTTGCCGAGAAATATGTCGATTTCGAGATTTCGGTGCGAACCCATGTGATCGATCCCAAGCGCTATCCACTGTAGACTAACACAACACAACACAGGTTGAAAATGAAGCCCGAACTGCTCAGCTGCCTTCCAAGCAAGGCACATCCCCCGAACAGACCTCTGTCCTCGAGGACTCTATTTTCAAGATATCCAGCCAGCTGTCCACCATTTCACGAAACCAAAAATACTTCCGCACTCGTGAGAACCGCAACTTTTCTACTGTCAACAGTACCGAGAAGCGAATTGTCAACTTTAGCGTCATTCAAATTGGCCTAATTATTTGCATGGGCGCTTTGCAGGTGTTCGTTGTCAGATTCTTCTTCCAGGGCGCGCGCAAGGGCTACGTTTAAAGTTTCATTTTATTTATCTTGGTTAGCATGTAACGAGGGCACACGTGGGAAAAAGGCAAAAGGGAACGGGTGGCCGACATTGGTACGATATGTATAATAATGAGCATAGAACCTGGCGGTCATTGTGAAAACCAACGGAGTAGAGGTGGTCAATCATTTAAATTGACCGAATTACAGCGACATTGCATGGCTAGTACATTTGTCGACCTTTGGTTCACATGTATTGTAACTGCATATTCCTCATTCCATAATACCATACCGTCCCAGCTAACAAGCATGGACCCTTTGTGGTTGGGGCTCGTAGAGGCAGAAGAGTAATAAGTTGTGGGTGACTTCGTTCGCCTGACGGTCGGACTTCGGCCCAGACTATTATATAATTAAATTTCATTAAGAAAATGTTACTAAAAAGAGAATATAATATATAAATAATGTTTAAAAAAAAACTAAAACTATAGTTTCAATTATGACTTCGTACTCATGCCGGTAGACGGAGAAACCCCAAAGTAGAGGACGATTTGGTAGGGAGCCAAACAAAACAAGACTGGAACAACATTATTGCGACGCCGCTAAGTGCACTACAAACCGACAAAACACCACACCTCACCACACGGTCCACGCCGCAATAACCCAACCCAACCCACACATCGCATATGACAACATAACAATGGACGCCCTTGTTAAATACAAATCCAAATCTGACGCGATCGCTCGGCGAGGTCACAGCCATGATCGAATTATGCACACGTCGTTCAAGGACCTGATACCTCTACGGCAGCGTGTTGATGCTGAGAAGATTGATCTGTCTCGCCCTGACAAAGAGTCTGTTGCAGCCACGACCGAGAGGACGAAGAATGCGCTCGCAGCCCTCATCAGTGGCGCTGTTGCGGCACAGAGACCCAAGAATGTAAATGTTGGAAACAGAAACGACCCGACCTTTGTACGATATACACCTGCCAGTCAGATGGGAGACGACTCGCAGAAGGAAACCCGAATCATGAAGATTGTCGAGCGCCAACGAGACCCGATGGAACCTCCAAAGTTCAAACATAAAAAGATTCCTCGTGGACCACCGTCACCACCCCCGCCCGTCATGCATTCACCACCTCGAAAACTCACAGCCCAAGACCAGGAAATGTGGAGGATTCCCCCCGCAGTCTCCAACTGGAAGAACCCAAAGGGTTTCACAGTGCCCCTAGATAAGCGTCTGGCTGCGGATGGCCGTGGCTTGCAGGACATTAGCATTAATGACAAACATGCTCAATTTGCAGAGGCAGTAAAGATGGCTGAACGGCATGCACGAGAAGAAGTTCAACAGCGTGCGCTGATGCAACAGAGGTTGGCGGAAAAGGAGAAGGCACAAAAGGACGAAAATCTGCGGGCGCTGGCCCAAAAGGCTCGAGAGGAGCGGGCGGGCGGTGGGCGCGGTCGCGGGCGTTCACCCGATTCGAGAGACTCCAGGTCACGATCGGGAAGTTACAGCAGATCTGACTCGGCATCCGACAGCGAAGATTCTGAGATACGGGAACGAGAGAAGGCTCGACGAGAGAAGAGAAAGGAAGAAGAGAGAAAGCTGCGACAGAACCGCATGGGTGCTGAACGGCGTATTCAGGTCATGGCAAGGGAACAAAACCGAGACATTTCAGAAAAGATTGCTCTGGGGTTGGCCAAGCCGACACAGTCCAAGGAGACAATGTACGACTCACGACTATTTAATCAATCGAGCGGTTTCGACAGCGGATTCAACGAGGATAATCACTACGACAAGCCACTGTTTGCAGCCCAGGATGCAATCAGCAGCATCTACCGACCGCGGGCAAACATGGATGACGACGATCCTGAAGCTGGCGATAAGGAGATGGCCAAGATTCAAAAGACGAGTCGGTTTGGAGAGGCACTTGGCAAAGGCACCTTTAAGGGAGCGGCTGATGTAGAGGTAGGCAGGCTTTCGCCGTCAAGCTGGAGATTTCGTGGTGGCACCAGGCTAACAAATACGCAGGCCCGTGAAGGACCAGTGCAATTCGAAAAAGAAATTGCCGACCCATTCAACGTGGACAAATTTCTGTCCGAGGTTGACCAGAATTCGTCGTCAAAGAGGGGATACGGGTTAAATGACGAAGATCGGCAGTCAAAGCGGCCGAGGGTAGAGGACGAGGATGATTAAGCGTCTTGTTGCGTTGGCGTTGACGGCGTTTTGGATGTATTGTACATTGTGGAATTGCATACTGGCCAGGGGCTCCAAGCGGGAATCAAAAGCGGTGCGAGGTTTCAAAAAGATATCAATAATAAATTGTTTGCTCGCGCAATATTGCTCTCTACTTCGATGCTGTTTTCGTACTTGTAAGCGATACGCATGCATGCTGTGAAGTTGCATATGTCTGGTCCTAAGTGATGGTGGTGGGGCGACGGTAATCCCTAAAAGTCCTTGTTTGGACCCTGACTGTCACTTTTGTTTCCGCTCCCCACTTGCCGCCGCCTCTTGGGTTCCTGTCAAAGTTCATGGCCTGATCATCTGATTGATGGCATTCTGTGCAAAATTGCAAACCTCAGACGACACTAGCCCTCGGCCCAACTCCAACTTCTCTTGGCTTGACCGTCTCATAATACAACCAGGCCTCCATTACTTCCCACACCCTTGGCCCTTCTCATCACCCTTGTCCAGGCGCCATCAGCCAGCATGGCATCGGGGGCATTCTTCAACCCGCAAAAGGCGCTCCTCCTCGCCCCCTTCGTCTCATCTACATGCTCCCTCCTCTTCGCCTGGGACCAGAATGCCTTCCTGAGCATCTTCACCAGCCCAGAAGTCAGCGACCGCATCAACCCCATCCTCCCTAGCTACTGGCGCGTCTTCTTCCCCCGGGGCCTCACACAGGTCGTTTCCCTCCTGGGCGTGACGACGTGGACTTCCGTCGGGGCCGTCGTCTACTACAGGACGCTGCTGCAGAAGAAGGGCGCGTGGGCCTGGTATGCGGCCACGGCGGCGCTGGCCGTCGGCCACTTGGTGTATGCACCGTTTGTGGCGCCGGCCATCAAGTATATACTCGACGATGAGGGAGGCAGGTCCAAGGAGAGAAAGCTCGCGGAGCCGGGGAACCGGAATGTGGATATGCAGAAACAGTGGCTGTGGTATAACATGGTGAGGCTGTTGACGACGGATTTGGGCGCCTGGGTTTGCTGTGCTGTGGGTGTCATGAAGACGTTTGATGTGGTTGAGTAGGATCCTGCTGCGGGCATGGACGGCTTGTAAGATATTTGTAAATGTAATTTTATGGAACCCCGAGGTTTGGTGTTTTACTTGTTGTGGAAATTGGCTCTGCTCTTCGCTTTTAGGGTCCCGCCGTTTTCTTGATGCGCCTTGCGAGAAATTCCATGTCTCCTTGGGTGGGCTTCACGGTTGAGGTGTTTGCTATATCTGCCATGGCCACAACTAGATTTTGCATGAAGACATGGAATTCTGCATGTAATCAATTGCGGTGCTATACACGTATACATGGATATACGATGGTCTTTGTTTCTCTCTGGAATCATGTACATAATGCGCGGTTGCTTGTACCCTCGCCTTTTCTACAGACCTGCCCTGACAGGTTAAAGCACCGGGCTATTATGCTAAATTCTGACACGAATGATGACATTTCAATCAACCGTGGGAGCTGTCTGCACTCCGCTTTGCCCGGGGACGTGATTGATGGATTTTGGAGACAGCCTGCTGACTTGCAGCTGATTCACGCTTCAACGTTCCATGGGCCCTTCCGCTGCTGTCGCAAGGAGCCGAAAGACGGTAGGTCCAGGACAACGGTTCCAGCTGAATATACATAAAGAGTTTCCTTTCGGACGACGGAACAATTAGCACTACTGCTGAAATACTTGAGCATTCCATTTGAATCTAGTCCTAAACATCAACCGGAACTATGAAGGTACGTAGACAAACAGACGACCATCTTTCACGCGCCAATAAAATATCACACAGTTCAAAACTCTTGCATTCTGCGTCTTCTACGGAGCCGCAACAGCAAGCTCGGTCGGTTTTGAAGAGTGGCTGCAGCCAGGTTGTCCCGGGCGAGCATTCCTAACTGCCACGGCGACAAGCGGCTACTGCGTCAACTTGGGGGATTACCCTGGGAAAAGCATCAGGTTGAGCGAAAAGATTGCCTGCTCACAGGGTCAGGCTGGTTGGGTTGAGGTTTCAAGCAAGGAATGCGCTGCTTTCCAAGTTGACGGGGAGTATCTTGCGGATGGGCACTGTCAGGACGTTGGGTTTGAACCTTTAGCTATTCGAACGTCTTGTCGTTGAAAAGGCATATATGTACCTTTTCAACATGTTGGGGTTTTTCTGATGAATCCAGCAGATGATCTCGTGCATTTCCGTTTTTATATAGTGCGCAAATGTGGTTATGTTAAATAGTCTAAACCAGGTTCCGTCGTGAGTCGAAAAGCGCACGTCGACACTTACAAGTTGGACAGTGGGACATTCGGGGGTCTGCTGAGGTCCTTAAGGGTACTATCAGATTTATGATATGACAATTCCTCTGATTAGTATAATGTGTTTATTTGAGCTTTTTAGACTGTCCGAATTGTGCTGCGTTACTTTGCATATGATGTACGTGATAAACCCAAGCACAACCTCGGCGCTCATCTCCATAGAATACCCTGTGTATCACGCAACTGTACATAATAATACTAATGTCAACAAGAAAGAGCCCCCAAAAAATTTCTTTGACTCAGCACAGCATCTCAGGTCGTCGACATTGAGGAGCTTGTTAATAGCTTCGACTTTGGAATCGTGGCGGGCTTTTTACAGCTAAGGTCAAAATTAAGTAGACGTCTTGTCTTTGCCTCACCAGACGACGTACGGCGCTTCCAGTAACACGAAAGCTGTCCTTATAAAGTGCCCCCGGATAATTTTCAGATAGTTGTTCACATCTCGGGCCAGAGCAGTAACAAACTAATCACCAAACTGCAAGCCCTAAGGGTTAAGGTTAAACACATCGTCGAGTGCTGCTCTT